TCCTTTTTTTTTCAATATTTTTTATTGTTATAGTTTAAGTGAAAGTTTACAATTCAAGGTAGTCTCTCATACAAAAATTTATGCGTACGTTGTTATGTAACCTTAATTGCTCTCCTTATACTGTGACAGCACACTCCTCCATTCCACCCCTGATTTCCCTTTACCGTTCAACCAGCTCCTGACCCTGCCTGCCTTCTCATCTCACTTCTGGACAGAAGCTGCCCATTTAGTCTCATGTATCTACTTAAGCTAAGACGCACTCTCTTCGAGTATTAGTTTATGTTCCGTAGTCCAGTCTAGTCTTTGTCTGAAGAGCTGGTCTCGGGATTGATTTTAGTTCTGGGTTGATAGAGTCCAGGGGCTGTGCTTTCTGGGGTTCCTCCAGTCTCAGTCATAACATTAAGTCTGGTCTTTTTACTAGAATTTGAGTTCTGTACCCCACTTTTCTCCTGCTGCATCAGGGACTGTCTGTTGTGTTCTTGTCAGGGCAGTCATTGTGGTAGCCAGGCACCATCTAGTTCTTCTGGTCTCAGGCTGATGAAGTCTCTGGTTTATGTGGTCCTTTCTGTCTCTTGGGCTAATACTTTCCTTTGTCTTTGGAGTTCTTCATTCTCCTTTACTCCAGGTGGGTTAGGACCAATTGAAGCATCTTAGATGGCTGCTCACTAGCTCTTAAAACCCCAGATGCCACTCATCAAAGTAGGATGCAGTACATTTTCTTAAAAAACTTTGTTATGCCATTGACCTAGATGTCCCCTGAAAGCATGGTCCCTAGACCCCTGCCCCTGCTACTCTGTCCCTGGAAGTGTTTGATTGTATTCAGGAAACTTCTTAGCTTTAGTTTAGTCCAGTTGTGCTGACTTCCCCTGTAGTGTGTGCTGTCCTTCCCTTCACCTAAGATAATCCTTGTCTACTATCTAGTTACTGAATACCCCTCTCTCTCTCTCCCCTCCTAACCATCAAAGAATGTTTTCTTCTGTGTTTAAACCTTTTTTTAAGTTCTTATAATAGTGGTTTTATACAATGTTTGTTTTTCTGTGACTGACTAAATTCACTCAGCAGAATGTCTTCCAGATTCCTCCATTTTATAAGATGTTTTATGGGTTTATCGGTGTTCTTTACCGTTGCATAGTATTCCATTGTGTGAATATACCATCGTTTGTTTATCCATTCGTCCGTTGATGGGCACCTAGGTTGTTTCCATCCTTTTGCTATCATGTACAGTGCTGCAGTGAATATGGGTGTGCATATATCTGTTTGTGTGATGGCTCTTAATTCTCTAGGATATATTCCAAGGAGCAGGATTGCTGGATCATATGGGACTTCTATTTCTAGCTTTTTAAGGAAGCGCCAAATCAATTTCCAAAGTGGTTGTACCATTTCACATTCCTGCCAACAGTGTATAGGTGTTCCAGTCTCTCCACAACCTCTCCAACATTGATTATTTTGTGTTTTTTTTTTTTTATTAATGCTAGCCTTGTTGGGGTGAGATGGTATCTCATTGTAGTTTTGATTTTCATTTCTCTAATGGCTAACGATCCTGAGCATTTCTTCATGTGTCTGTTGGCCACCTGAATGTCTTCTTTGGCGAAGTGTCTGTTCATATTCTTTGCCCATTTTTTAATTGGGTTATTTGTCTTTTTGTTGTTGAGGTTTCCTGTATCTTGTAGATTTTAGAGGTTAGACGCTGATCGGATTTGTCGTAGCCAAAAATGTTTTTCCGGTCTGTAGGTTGTCTTTTGACTCTTTTGGTGAAGTCTTTTGATGAGCAAGTTCATTCCTTTGTATTGTTCAGTAGTATTCCATTGTATAGATATTTTCGGTTAACTGCATTTGCACTAATCCTTTCTTAAATTGTTAACGTAAAGTAGTACATACTTTAGTAAGAATAAGTCTTTGTTTTGATTAAAAACAGTAACGAAATCTTCAAACTCTTCCAGTGTACTTGACACAGATTATGAGGCTTCTTTCAATATTGTGAGCATATCAGTCAATTATATTTTATGCTGCATAAGGTGCCCTGGTGACGCAGTGGTTAAGAGCTCGACTGCTAACCAAAAAGTCGGCAGTTCAAATCTACTAGCTGTTCCTTGGAAACCATATGGGGAAGTTCTACTCTGTCCTGTAGGGTCCTGTGAGTCAGAATGCTGCATAAATTATCAGCAGACATGTGAACTCAAGCATAAAGTTGTATAGATCATAAAATAAATGAGATGTTATTTAATGAAATGGATATAAATTAAACAGATGGAGAAGATGTTATCTATTGTTAATTATGCTTCACCAGAGTTATCTGTATGAACAGAATATCCCATCTCAACATCCTATTTGTTAGTAGATAGGAAATGGAAATCAGAGTGGTAACAATACCAATTAGTGGTGATATCTTGGGTTGTTGAGATCGATTTACTTACATTTCAGTACTCTTTTAACACTAGCAGCCATGAAGTGATGCCTACAGTTTACAAAACATTTATAAATATGTTCTTTCTTGAATTTCTTATCAATTCTCTGAGGAAGGCAGAGTTGGTATCATACTAATTTTATAGATGAGGAACTAATGCGTAGAGATATTTTAGATCAGTAGTACCAAAGCCAATATTAAAATCTCCAACCTCTTTCCTCCATTCTTCTATCAACAAATATTCAGTGTTTATGCACCAGGCACTCTTCTAGGTGCTGACCATTCTGGAGATTACATTCTAGTTAGAAGAGACACACTAAATAAATCAGTAAGACACTTAATATGTCAGATAATGCTAGAGAGTGCTAGGGATGATATTTGCAATTTTAAATACAGTATTAGGGAAGTCCTCATTGAGAAAGTAATAGTTGAGCAAAGACCCGAAGGTGGTGATGGAACAAGTGATGGAGACATCAGGAAAGATCATCATAGACAGAGGAAATACCAAGTGCAATGCACTGGGCAGGAATATGCCTGGTGAGTTCTAGTAACAGTAAAGAGACTTTGGTGGAGTGATCAGTGGAGAGTGGTAGGAAATGAGGTCAGAGACAAGATGGGCCTTGTAGGGCTATGTTGGTCTAGGGCCATGTGGATTTAGGGCCTTCAAGGTAATTTTAGGCTTTTACTCTGAGTAACATGAGAAGCCATTAGAGGGTTTTGAGCAGATAAGTGAGGTGATATAGCATGATTGAAAGGCATTCCTTTAGCTAGGTTGTTGAGAATAGACCTGAGAGGCCAAGAGCAGAAACAGAATACCGGTTAGGAGGCTATTGCCATGATCCAAATGAGTGGTGATGGTGGCTTGAACCAGGGTGGTAGCAGTGGATATGGTAAGAGAGTTTGGATGCTGGATATATTTTGGATCAGATCTGGGTTTTTTGAGAGAAAGAAGCAGAGTTGAGAATGACTCCCCCCCCCTTTTTTTTTAATAACTTGGACAACTAGAAGAGAGTTGCTATTTACCATCATAGAGGAGCGAGTTTTGGGAAAAGAACAGCTGGTTTGGCTGTTAAACTTGAGATACCACTTAAACGTCATGTAGAGGTAGATGTTGAGTAGGCAGTTTGACATAAGGTTCTGAAGTTTAGAGGAGACATCTGGGCTGGAGATTACTTCTGTGTGCTTTTGGCACATAGATGGTATTTAAAGCTATGAGACTAATTGTGATCACCAAAGTGATACAAATAGTGAAGAGGTCTGGGACTAAGCCCTGGACACACCTGGGCATTGAGGTATTAGAGACAAGGAACCAGCAGAGGAGACTGAGAAGGAGCAGTCATTGAGGTAGGAGGAAATTCAAGAGAATAGTATTCTAAAAGCCAAGCGAAGAGTGTTTCAGGAATGCATGATAGCAACAGAAAACAGATCAGTGGTTGCAGGGTAGGGTAAGGGGAATAGATGGTTTCAAAAGGGGTACGAGTAAACTTTCGAAGTTGATGGATATGTCATATACATATATCAAAACTTTAACAAATGGTAGACTTTAAGTATACAGTTTATTGTATGTCAGTTATACCTCAATAAAGTTGTTTTTAAAAATTGAAAACTCATTCATTATTAAAAAAAAAAAAAGGGAGTGATAAGCTGTCACATGCTGCTAATAAGTTAAGGAAGATTGGAACTCAGGGTTGACCATAGGAAATAGCAACATCCTTGGTGACCTTAACTAGAATACCATCCTTGGAGTTGTAGGCATGAAAGTGGGATTTGTGTGTATTCGAGAGAGAATGGGAAGAGAGGAAGTGGAGACAGCACTGACACTCTTTTGAAGGATTTTGCTGAAAAGGGGAGCTGGGAAATGAGACTGAAGGGGGATGTGAAGTCAAGACGAAGGCTCTTGTTTTTGAGAAAGGAGAATTACACTTGCAAAGATAGCTTATTGTTATGCTGATGGGAATGAATCAACTGGAAAAAAATGATGCTACAAGAAAGAGAAAAATTATTGTGGAGAAGGGTGAATTGATGGAGTGGTATCTATATATTTCTCTTTTCAATTGGTCTCAAGAATCTGGCCATAATTTAAAAAATTCATTTCCAAATCTGTTTGGATATGCTTTTGATTTTATTCATCATTTATTTAAAAACTATAGGGTTTGTGGATCACTTTTGAAGATATCCTTACTTAAAAACGTGCATTTTTTGTACAGTGTTTGATATTATTAATCTTGTCCTTTCCTAAGATTGATATTTATCATGTGTTGGTGTATCATATTTTATGTCATAGAGTTTATAATATCCATTCCTCACCAAATAAATGCAGATTTTCCAGTCAGCATGACTGATTTTTAGCTGCTACTACCCTTGGGGTATCTTATCTAGAATATTTTCTTATCGGGGTTGCATTATATTATGCTCTCTTTGTAAAGTAATTATGTGAAATAGTTTTACCAAAGAATTTGATGAAGTAATTTTTGTTCTTCCAGTACTGTTATGATTGGTTGCTTTGGGGATGGGTGAAAATTGATACAATTTTTTTCTTGGGGTAGCAATTCCCTTAAATTTTCTTAGTTCGCTAACTGACCATAATTGTTTCCTCAGGTGATGGGAAATCCAGGCACTTTCAAAAGAGGCCTTTTATTCTCAGCTTTGTCTTATTTGGGTTTTGAAACTTACCAGGTCATTTCTCAGGCTGCTGTGGTTCATGCCACAGCCAAAGGTAAGCTTAAATTAAACATCTTCTTTTGTCTTTATTTTCTGGGGGGAGAAGGGGCGAAGATATAGTTTTGTCAATATGTATATAAGAATAAATAATGAAACTAACATTGTTATAGGCTGGACTGAGATCTGTATCTCTATCTATATGTAATTTCTTCCGGAAACTCAAGGTCCTTCAGTGATAATCTACTAATTCTTTGTATTCTTGTAGACCCCTTGAGCTAAGAATGTTCTTTCTATTTTTAACAAGTTGAAGGGCTATAGAAAAAAAAAAAAGAGTATGTCACAGAGACCATATATGGCCTACAAAGCCTAAAATATTTACTCTCTGAACCTTTATGGTAACAGTTTGCTGATCCCTGCTTTATAGTGACAAAATGATTCTTTTGTTTCCCTAATGCCAAGATGTTATATTCTTCTCGATACAATTTTAAACTTTTCAAAACCAAAGTGTCACAGCAAAGATTGGAACCCATATATCTTTATTTCTCTTTGCATCTATCACACTTAGTTTCAGAGTGTCTTAGCATCAATACAGAAATAATTGGAGAGATTTATTGCTTCCCTAACCAACAAAATACGACATTTTGAAAGGCAAAGCCAAAATTCCTTTTAGCCTTAGTGATTATAGTCCATTTTTTAAGAAGTGTCTGAATGACATAAAAAGTACTGTATATTCATTAAATTAAAAATAGCATCTTTATATCCAAGGTTTAACTTACTCTGAAAACTAAGTTCACTGCTTTTGTTACAGATTTTAATGAAAATGGATTTATATTTTAGAATTATTTTTGTATTTTACTGTTTATTTTGAGCACTTAAAAAGTTACTGTGAAGAACAGAATATGGATATTTGTTTAGACTGCCTTGATTTTCCTTAGCTTTATCTCCTTAAAATAAAAAATCTTATAGTTAGTTAACTGGCAGATTCATATAATTTGTGAGACTATAGGCCATAACCCTTGAAAAAATCATTAATAATTACTGATAGAATATAGGAGCCAGGCTTTTTTTTTTAATTTAGAAAATGACCCACGTTTTTCTACAAATATAATTTTATTGGTCCTTGACAAGTTTTATTTTATCCCATATCTCTCTTCCATTTTTTATGCTGTGATCCTTATTTTTTGTATTTTTTAGGAATTTGTTTTCAAATCATAATTTCACCCACCAGAACTGCTTAATTCCCTTTAGATCTGCTTCATACTCATAGAAGCTAATTAAAAAGTTTTTTCCCCACTTTGTTTACTAGAATTAAGTCATATTGTGAAGTGGCACTTCTATGGAAATGAATTCAAGTTTAAGGACTTCATATTATTGACGTTTCAGTTGGATGGAATTGTGGGACTGATTTTTAGATGGTAATGTTTATGTTTATCACACAGTGGTGCCGAAACCCCGCTTGACAGCAGTAATTTAAGCACTGCACTTGAAGGTTTTTCTGATGTCCAAAGTAGGTATCACTGGGCTAAAGTCAAGGTGTCAGCAAAGCTGTGTTCTTTTTGGAGGCTCTAGGGAAGAATTTGTTTCCTTGCCTTTTCCAGCTTCCACAGGCTTCCCCCATTCCTTGCCTGATAGCCCCTTTTCTCCATCTTCAAAGCCAACAGTCACATCACTCTTACCTTGTTTCTGTTGTCACGTCTTCTCTGACTCTCTTCTTCTGCCTCTTCCACCTTTAAGGACCCTTGTGATTACATTCGCCCCACCTGGATAATCCAAGACAATCTCCCTATTTTAGATGATTAGCAACCTTAATTCCCCTTTGCTATGTAACTGCACATATTCACAAGTTCCAGGGATTAAGATGTAGACATCTTTGGGAGCCATTATTCTGCCCACTGCAAATATTGGCTAAGAATGCTGAGACACTACTTTTTCCTTTTAGTAATCTTTGTGTTATTAAAACCCAAACTTTGAGAATCAGCCACTGATAAAATTACAAAATAGAATGGAAACAAACTTTAGAAGATTAACCAGCCATATGAATGCTATTAAACTCCATAGCACCTAACCAGATTGAAGCAGGATTATGGAAAAGAAAATCTGTATAATTTTAGGGTTTCTCTGCTATTGTCACTTAATTTTTCTTAAGCTAGTATAATTACATCATGACATTAAATTAGTAAAAAATACTTGCATGGTTGTGTCATAAATTTCATATGTTTTTCTCTTGGTCTAGATTTTAATTTTTTTTTTTAACCTTTAAAAACATTTAACCTCAAATGCTCTATGGTTAATTAAAGTATACTAAGATAAATAGTAAACTTAACTGAAACGTTATTGGAATGTTGCTTGTAAGTAGGACTAAGTAGTACAGTACCCTTACAGAAGACAAAATGAAATGTGTATGTTCCTTAGTAGTTAATTGTAATATCCTGATCTTCAAACTTAAGGAGCCCTGGTTGTGCAGTGGTTAAAGTGTTGCTAACCAAAAGGTCAGTGGTTTGAACCCACCAGCCGTTCTACAAGAGAAAGCTATGACAGTCTGCTTCCGTAAAAATTTTCAGCCTTGGAAACCCTATAGGTTCGCTATGAGTTGGAATTGACTCAGTGGCAATGGCTTTGGTTTGGATCTTCAAACTTACTATTTTTTCAGGAAGTAGTCAATTTTCGTAGGGCATTACATTGTCTTTAAAGCTTATGTATTTCATGATAATGTCTAAACTAATTAGCAAGTTGGTCGAAGCATAGTGCCAATGAGGAAAGTTTCAGAATCTCTATATAGTTGACTAAGTTCTTGATGACACATTTGACTCTTTTCCATAAAAGTATCTGTATAAGTTAGGTCATAAAGAGGATCTGGTAAAACAGTGTGGTTCAGTTCATCAATAATTTCCAGTACTGTAAGTGGATAAGTTACATCATCATTTCCTACAAAGGATGGTACTTAACAACAACAACAGAGATTTTATGTGGAGGTTATTTCTTCCATAAATTCTCATAGGAAATTAAAAAAAAAATTTTAATGTATTAGTCATATTTAATACATTTTCTAATTTTTTATTTTCCATCAATCATTGGTTTGATAGCTTCATATTTATTTCTACTATATTTCTGCCTAAGTTCATTAGAATTTTTTATTTTTCCTTATAGGTGATTTCTGTATCTGATTTGCTTGTATACCCATTGCCATCGAGTCAATTCCGACTCTTAGCAACTCCATAGGACTGAATAGAACTGCCCCATAGACTTTCCAAGGCTGTAAATTTTCACAGAAGCAGACTGCGACATCTTTTTCCTGCATAGCTGCTGGTGGGTTTGAACTGATGACCTTTCAGTTAGCAGCTGAGCACTTAACCACTGTGCCACCAGGGCTCCTTTTACTTGTACAGAAAAGTGTTTATGTTTCTTAGAGTTAGTACCATTTGTCTTGGGAAGAACTACTTTATTGTGTCTTTTTTTTTATATATATATACACACAAAGTTGAAGAAATCCTTGAACAAGCAGATTACCTATATGAAAGTGGAGAAACTGAAAAGCTTTATCGGTTGTTAATCTCATATAAGGAAAGGTAAGCAACGTATGATAGGCCTGGGTTTCTGCTTTCCTCAGAATTTGTGTGTTATTTAACAATTGAAATGATCCTTGGTGCTTGAAATTTACATAATAAATTAATGCAGTTTTTATTTTAAAAAAGTATTTCCTAAGTTTTATTTATAGTATGTTTCTTTCTTACATTAAAGGATTCAAAAGTGCTACACTTATCTCATTTGTTAAGAAAAGTTTGTTGTTTTACTTACCCATGCTAGTGGAATGTTGAGATATTTTTATCTGTTTTACTAGTTTGCTTTCGGTGATGCAAGGTGGTCATTGACTATAGGTTTATCTCATCTGTCTATATTGTATACCTCTCATTCCTTTTCGTTTAAAGTCATTCCTTATTGGAATAAGGATTAAGTGATTTATTAAGAATTAGGATGCTTGTATGCCATTATAAAATATTATCTGTGTATCACTTCAGGAGCAGTCTTTTCAGAAAAATAAAAAGTACCCCTTTTTCTGTTTTTAGTATTAGATTACATTTTTAGTCCAGAATCAATGTGTACTCATTTGTTGGGAGGATCGGGATGTGGAGACTTAGTTAAATAAGGCTGAATGACATTTCCAGATCTCTCATCTACCTGTTTTCCATAACTAGAAACATTGACTCATTTTCTTCAGCTACCTCTCTTAGATTCCCAAAAACAGTTTTCTCACTGTGACCCATTAATTTTATTTCCTAAATGCCTTTACATCTCTTTTTCCTTCTCCATTCTCCCATCAGTAACTTGACGTGACTGATTTGGTGTTTTGTAGTCTTTTCAGTAATAATTTGAAAAGTAAGCTGTAAGGTAGTTACTCCATATTCATTGAATTATAAATATACAGTAATTACCTTTTTTTTTTATAAAATAAGAACTTTCAAATTGTATGTGAATACTGTTTTTTTTTTTTTTTAAAAAAAAAACCTAAAATATATAAAGTAGGCTTAAAGGCAACCATTTAATAAAAAGGAATTCAAGGTTAGTTTTTTTTAAAAAAATTCAAATTCTTAGTTGCGGTTACTATTAATCATTTCTTATTTTGTATATTTATATTTAAATGGCAGTTCCTCAAGGAATCCAGTGCACTTACTTGAAATAAGAAGCCATTCATCATGGCATGGATGATACATTCAAACGGAATTTATTTTGAGATTACATTATATTCAGTTGTTCCTTCACTAACAAATATCTATCATATCACATACTTACTCTGTGCCAGGCACTGTATTTGGGGATAGAGATATAGCAGTTTTGTTTTTTTAGGGCATGACCCTGTCTGTAAAGTTCATGTATTTTATAGTAATGTCTGAACCACTTAGTGGATTGCATGAAGCACACTTCCAGTGAGGTCAAGCATCAGTTTTATATGTTGAGTTTTGTAGAGCAGGTGTTTAGAGAATTCAAATACAAACGTAGTTTCCGAGGAAATCAGTATTTAGATACTATAGCTAAGTTAATATTTATCAATAATATTGGATATTTTATAAGGAATTTTAGCAAAAAAGTTTTTATATGAAAAAAGTAAATTTAACATTATTAATAATAGCATTTTGATACCATGTTGCTTCCTATATCCTCACTAATCTGAGAAAACATAACGTGTTAATTAATGATGTGACCTTTAACAGGTTAAAAATGTCAACTAAATTGTTGTTTTATATTTTATTTCAAATTAGTGAAGATGCAGAGTTACTGTGGCGTTTGGCACGGGCATCACGTGATATAGCTCAACTTAGCAGAACCTCAGAAGAAGAGAAAAAGCGATTGGTGTATGAAGCCCTAGAATACGCAAAAAGGGCACTTGAAAAAAATGAATCAAGTTTTGCAGCTCATAAGGTGAGGTGCTTAACATAAGTAAGCTGCTACCATGTACTGAGGGGTACATCAGTCCATACTTATCTATTCTATTATCCCTAGCTGACATAGGAAAGAAAATTGCTGTATTTTAAAGAAGTAGGGGAAGGATTTATTTTTGTAGAATCTTTTCAAAAAGAAGTAAGTGGTGGTTTTTTGTTTTTTTTTAAAATTAAATAGTTATTCTAATTTTATTATTATGTCTGATAAATTACTTTTGTGAATGCTTATTTTTAAACAAAAGTGTTAGTAGTTTCATGAATTATCTCTATTTCTCATAGTGCAAGCACTTGGCAAATATTTTCTCATTTTCCTCTTATTATATTTCTGTTTTATGTGGAGGTAGGAATATAGCAACTGGACAACTGAGACCCAGTATGGTTTTTCACATGTAATTCATCTAGTTTCTGGATTTCCCAGTTGATTTAGAACAATGTGTTTTAATAGGCAGTATGGGAAAATAGGGGAGGCTATTGACATTTTGGATTAGGACATTTCTTTATCATGTTGGACTGTCCCCTAAGTCATTGTGATAATCAAAATCTATCCCCACACATTTCTAAATGCTCCCTTTAGGGGTTTGGTAGTATCCTCCCACCGCCCTCCCTCCCAAAAAAATAGCACCACTTGTTTATATTAAGGATAAAACAGATGCGTATCCTTTTAAATTTATCAAGACTTATTTTATGTCCCAGAATATGTTTTATCTTTGTAAATGTTCTCTGTGTACTTCAAAATAATGTTTATTCAACTGTTGTTGTAGCTTATAAACGTCAGTTAGTTAAGTTGGTTGATGATGATGTTCAAGTCTTCTTTATCCTTAATGATTTTCTGTGTTGAAATCTCCAACTATAATTGTAGATTTGTCTGTTTCTCTTTGCAATTTTATTAGTTTTTGCTTTGTATATTTTGAAATGCTGTTATTAGGGATATAATAAACATTCGGTATTGTTATATCCCATTGGTGAATTGACCTCTTTATTATTATAAAATGATCCTCTTCATCTTTTGAAATAATCTTGGTTTTACAGTCTACTCTGTCTTATATTAATGTAGCTATTCTATTTTTTTTTAAATTAATATTAGCTGGTATATCTTTTTCAGACCTTTTGCTTTTAACTTATTTGTGGCTTTATATTTGACATGTACTTCTCGTAATAGTTATGTCTTTTATTTTTATTTAATTTTCATTTTATAGCATTTTTATTGAGATACACTTCATATATCATAAAATACACTGTTTTGAAACCCTGTATGATCCCTCTAGTCAACTGGATTTGGGCTACTGGGTAACTATCAATAGAGATTACATGAATATAGTGTATAAAGGTGTGTGTGTATGTTTAAATTATACTTTTTTATTTTTGATAAACTTATCAAGTATAAGAGGTTTTGGTGGAGAGTAGGTTTAAACAGAGGTTGTGTTAAAATTCTTTTGGTTATAATTATTAGAATCCCACAAAAATTAGCTCAAACAAAAAACCTTTGCCATCAAGTTGATTTTGACTCATGGTGAACTCGTGTGTTACAGAGTAGAACTGCTCCATATGGTTTTCTTGCTGTAATCTTTACAGAAGCAGATTGCCACGCCTTTCTTCCCTGATGTTGCTGGGTGGGTTTGAACCACCAACCTTTAGGTTAGTAGTCTAATACAAACCCACCCAGGGACCACCGAACAAAAGAAAGGGAGGGGGATGGCGATTATAAGAAACTATTGTATCTCATAGAACCCAAAGGCAAGCTGTATTTGGGCCTCAGGAAAAAACTGGTTTGGTTGCTCGGAGGCTTCATTAATCATCTCTCTTCTCTGTGCTCTGCAAATCTTTTTTTAACTGCAGACTTTTTTTTTCTCCTTAGCCTAAGTGTTGTGACTAACTATAATGGCTGGGTTTATGCATTGTTCGAAAGACCAGATAGACTGAAGCGCAAATATCTTAGATTCAGCTCTTGGGGAAGAAACTCAGGTTGTCTCAGTTTGGGTGTATTGTCCAACTATGGCTATGGGGACATGGTCACAATTGACAAATGTGGCTGTTCCTACTATTACAGAGCAGTTGTATGCGGAGGGACAGCTCTCATCTCCCAGAGGATAAGAAGACAAAAGGATAGTCATTCAGTTATAAATTTTTCTAAATTTATACTCAAACCATAAGCATAATTCATTATCTCTGTGTTCATTATACCATGTTTTATTTGTAATAAAGAAGCAATTCTTAGAGAATTCACCACTTCCCATCTTGTATTTATTTATTTATTAACATGTTGTCATGGTTTGAATTATGTCCCCCCCAAAAATGTGTGTATCAATTTGGCTAGGCCACGATTCCCAGTGTTGTGTGGTTGTCCTCCATTTTGTGATTGTAATTTAACATTAAAGAGGATTAGGGTGGGATTGTAAGACCACCCTAACCCAGGTCACATCCCTGATCCAGCGTAAAGGGAGTTTCCCTGGGGTGTGGCCTGCACCACCTTTTATCTCTTGTAAGAGATGAAAGGAAAGCAAGTGGAGAATTGGGGGACCTCATACCATCAAGAAAGCAGTGCCGGGAGCAGAGCGCGTCCTTTGGACTGGGGTCCCTGCGCCGAGAAGCTCCTAGTCCGGGGGAACACCGATGAGAAGGCCAAGAGAGAGAGAAAGCCTTCCCCTGGAGCTGACACCCTGAATTTCGACTTTTAGCCTACTTTACTGTAAGGAAATAAACTTCTCTTTGTTAAAACCATCCACTTGTGGTATTTCTGTTATGGCAGCACTAGATAACTAAGACACATGTCTTATCCTTGTAACTAGAATGTAAGTTCCTGAAGGGCCATGTCCACTTTTTTTGTATATTCGGGTACATTTAATACAGTTCTTATGTTCGGTAACTTTTTATTGAATTATAATGACTATTGAGGAATAAATAATTACACAGATTTACCTTATATTGAATGGAATATCATTAAGAGTATTCTTAACACCTTTTCCCCCTATTTTTAGTGGTATGCAATCTGTATTAGTGATGTTGGAGATTACGAAGGCATCAAGGTTAAAATTGCAAATGCCTACATTATCAAGGAACATTTCGAGGTACTGATAAATTATTAAAGTTCATGAATATAAAAATTCAATATTTTCCTTAGTAGATTTCTGATAGTCTATTGCTGTATAATAAACCACTTAAAATTTAGTGGCTTATTGCAGTAACAACTTATTGTTTCTTACAGTTCTGTATGTTAACTGAGTGCAGTGGTGTTTCTGCTCTGCTTGGTGTAGCTGAAGTCATTTAGATGGCTGCATTCAGCTGGGCCTTCAGCTGGGACTGGAGTGTCCCAAGATGGCCTCTTATCTACAAGGGTTTCTTTTCATTTCTTACCATTTAGTAGTCAAGCTCAAGCTTCTTTACAGCATGGTAGCTGGCTTCCAAGACTGAGTGTTCCAAAAGAAAAGCTCCTTTGTACAAGCTTTTGTCAAGTCTGCCACACTTAGTAATATTGCATTGGCTTAAACAAATCAATTTATGCTGTTTCAATTTTGAATTCCATCATTACATCTAAAGTCGTAAGGAATTATTATCTTTGGATTGTTTTTAAAAGATAGTTAATGGCAGGAAGGATTCTAAAACAAAGGGTTTACTTCAGAGCAATTCTTCTCAGCCTATTCCATAAGAAAATTAGACCCTAACACCAAAGGCATCTGTTATATGTAATGAATTAGCTTCTCTCCCGTGCATCTAGAATGGTACTAGATTTGTACCGTTCTTGGGAGAATTGACAAAATAGTCACTCATATCATTTTTTTGTAGGGCTTAATTTTCTAGTGGAACTCCAGTTGGGGAAGGTTACTCAGTATACATTATGTTTAGGTACTTTATAAATATATTTTGCTGTGAATCATATCACTGTATTTAAGGAGTAAAATTTAGGTGTGTGCTGATTCTTACCCATATTATTAAAGCAGGATTTCTGCCAAGTCATACTTGGTTATCCTTACGCTATCTATTTCCTCTAGTACTACTAACATTAATCAAGTTGTTGTTATGTGCCGTCGAATTGATTCCAACTCATAGCAACCTGCCCCACAGGGCAGAGTAGGGCTGCACCATAGGGTTTCCTAGGCTGTAATCTTTATAGATGCAGACTGCCACATCTTTCTGCCTCAGAGCGCTTTGTGAGTTCGAACCCCTGACCTTTCGGTTAGCAGCCAAGTGCTTAACCATTGTGCCAGCAGGGCTAGTAATAAATTGAGTAACTGGTAGTTACTAAAAATGAAAATAATGATGTTCGTGATAGAAGATATGTGCCAGGCACTGTGCTTAAGCACTTCTTGTTATACTCATTTGATTTTCACCACAACCCTATGAAGTAGGTATATTATTTTCTCTATTATACCAAAGAACAAACTCAGGTATAATGAGAATACAGAATACGCCAAGGTCAGCAAGTTAGAGGGCACTGAGCCGTGATTCAAACCCTGGCAGTCAGACTTTATAGCCCATGCTGTTAACCATTATAAATATTTGAAAATGTATACCTTACAATACCAAACTGAAAATGAAAATGTGGGTTTACAGAAAAGCATACATTAGGAAGTCTTGATTTTTTAAGAAATTTTAATTTTAATGAGATTAACATTAATTGGTAGATAAAGGGAGAGTATTTTCTTTAAGGCATTAAAATTTAAACAGTGAAGTCTTTAATTCTGTAGTTTATGCTTTACACAAATTCACATAGGACTTTCACGTAGGACTTTTACAAAGTAAATAGGGAGATGTTATCCACATATTTTACATTGTATATAATTCTATGAATTAATATATTCTCTGAATAAACAGTATTTTTCCTTTGGTAAGTACAGATGGGAAAGTTGAACAAAATCCTGCATACAGAAAGAAACTTTCTAAAATTATTATGTAGTTTTTATTCCTCTTTTAGGACAGAATGCTTTTTGTTCAGTATTTGTATAGAACTTGCCAAAAAAAGATTTTCTTGTTTTCTTTTAATCTGGAAGAAAGAAGCATTGAGATCTATAAATTATTATTGTTTTCATAGTTAGCTTCATTTATATCTTTCATATTTTTTCTTATCTTGATAAACTCTACAGTCAGTTTCTCAGCCCTATGGAATAGTAATCTTGGTACAAGTCGTTAATAGCATAGTGAAATGAATGTACTCTAAGAATTAAGAAGAAAGTTGATGTTAATTATGACAGAAGAATTGAGATGCAGGGTTATATTATTACTATTTTTTTAATCATGGCTTCTTCAGCAAACATAGTAAAGCACTTACTGATGTTCAGAAAATAAGTATCAATTTTCTCATTTCTTGTTAGAAAGCAATTGAACTGAACCCTAAAGATGCTACTTCAATTCACCTTATGGGTATTTGGTAAGAAAATTTCTTTAAATAAATACTTCAGTGATACTTAGTATGATCTTATTTTGTAGTATGTATGAATATTTTATAGTATATAAAAAAGACGTAAAATATTTAAAAATATTATCTGGCACAGTCTAAAGTGTTAAATCCATTAAGTTAACTAGCACCTCTGCATGTATTGTTAGAAAATACTAAATTTGTTTGTGATCATGTTGTTACTCGTATCATTTAGAAAAATGTACTCAGATAAGCATATAACTTAGACCTTTAAATTCCCTTTGTTGGGAAACACTATTCTTAGTTATCAGGCTAAATTAAATTGGATTAATCTAAATATAGTAAATACCATAGGAGAACCTAAGAGGGTCTTTACATCTTCAAAGTGTGTCAGTATAGTCTTGACTAGATTCTAAGGAACAATATAATTTGACTTTCTGTATCTTTCTGTTTTTATCTGACCTTGTATGAAACATAGACCATTATTTTGCTGGTATGAGGGTGCATCAGTGTGTTAAATGCTTGCTGGTTTAAGAGTCTTTCTTGAGACAGGTTGGCCGCTGTTTTCTTTTGTGTAGACTGCAGAGCTAAATATTTATTGCCTTCTAAGAGGGGTAACAGTGTAAACAGTCCTGTATCAGACTCCTTTAAAAGAGAGGCAAATACCTTGTAGGATAAAGGACACTAAACTAAAAAACACTTACTGGGACTGATGATAATTGAAGGACAGTCATAACTCAGATACCAGTGATCAGACGTATGAATGGTAGAGTTCAGACCCTGATCAGAGATCCAACACTTTTTTCCTACTTATTTCAGAAAGGTATAAAAATTCATGGATGTTAATTATTCGCTTCACCCTTTTAAAAATGTAGACTTAGAGTGTTGGTTGCTGTTTTTATTTATGCATATCATGTTTAGCTTTGTTCTTTATCTTGACTAAGTTTTTTACTTCTCTGAGTTTGTTTTTAGAAAAGAGTTTGTGAAAAACGGGTGATAATCTTATCGTGGTTGTAAGGAGTAGATGAGAGAATCACTTATTTTAGCAACTGGCACAAAGTGAGCACTCAAATGGTGGATGATATACTGTGTCATCATTACTACTATTGCTTACTGTTTACACTTAATCGGAAAGTACAGCCCCCAGCTGATGGATAGATATACGTCGGTCTCTAGATAATTCAGTATGATTATTAACCTACTGGATATCATGTAAAGTATTAATTTTCAGAAGTACAGCCGGAGAAAATTCCTTTTATAGTATCTGTGGAGATGTTTGGAAACCCTGGTGTAGTGGTTAAGAGCTATGGCTGCTAACCAAAAGGTTGGCAGTTCGAATCCACCAGGCACTCCTTGGAAACTGTATGGGGCAGTTCTCCTCTGTCCTATAGGGTCGCTATGAGTCGGAATTGACTCAGTGGCAACAGGTTTGGTTTTTTTTTTTTTTTTTTTAATTGAGATGCTTAGCTCTCTTTAAGAGAAAACAAAGAAGCTGCAATTTAAATGTTATTTCCCTACAGGTGTTACACATTTGCTGAGATGCCTTGGTATCAAAGAAAAATTGCGAAAATGCTGTTTGCAACTCCTCCTAATTCCACCTATGAGGAGGTAATGTGATGTCCTTTGTTAAGTTAGTACAGTTTCTAAACTGCGGCACCATTCTACTGTGTCCCACATCTGAGAGTCTGATTCAGTGAGGGACTTGAGCAAGTTACTTATGCTTCTATTCATCTGTCTTGTCACTGAGGCTTAATACTTATTATCCATGACTGGTGAGTTTTTGTTTTTTTTTTTGCTTTAGGTGAGTGGCTGACAATTCTGGTTTATTGCCAGCTAAAATAGGCCATGGCTAAAATTTATTTTCATTTTCTGTTTGAAATTTACACCATATAAAAGTCAAAAAGAATGAGAAATACAGCAACTATTACCTAGCATGTTTTAGGCACATTCTACATGATAACAAGTCATTTATCTGAAAAAGTAAAGGATACGATTGCATTGGTAAAGGAACATTAATCATAACTGTTTCTGTAAAAAGTGAGTATGAAAGGCTCACATTCTCTCATTTTTTAAAGGCCTTTTGATTTTCCTGTTAAAAATACAGTTTGAAAGGCATTTCTGGGTAAACATTTTGGGTTTACTCATCACAAAGAACATTTTTAGAATAAGGAAATAGGTAACTGAAAAGACACTCCCAATACTTGTATCATAGGAAGGAGCTGTTTTTTTTTCTGGGATGGTATATGTCACTGTGAGTCAGATTCAGCTCCACAGCACCCAGCAGCAACAATAGTATAAAAATTGATGTGAAGAACATTTATTTGTATACTTAGAACACAATTGGGAAATATTTATTGTTATTAAAGAGCATGCATTCTAAGGAAAAAAGATACACAATTGGCACTACTATAACAAATCAGTTGTTTTTAAGAAACCAATTGTCATCAGATAATGCATTATAAAGACAGTAGTTGAAGTGGAATAAAAGGAATTAGCAGAGTTTCAGACTCACAGTAACATTTTTCTGTAGGAATTTCAATAAAAAGGACTTTATAAAATTCACTGGGGTAACTTATGTATCTCTGAGTAAATTTAGTTTATTATATGTAGTTTTTGCTAGTAGTCACTGTTAGGATTTGAGAAAAGAAAGGTCAGAACAGCTGAGTTCTACATGATAATGTTCTTTGCACATGATGCTAGTTTGATACAAATTCTGAACAATGAAGTTATTATCAGAAATGATCCATATATTATAATCCTTTCTCTGATGATTAAATTCAATTCAGTTTGGCTATATTAACATCTGCTGTTGAAGAATTGACTATTAAGGTGATTTAATTTACTTATATTTTATATAAGAATAGAGAGATCTTTTGAGAAAATTTTTACTGTTATATTGTTAAGTATTTTTAATCCTTTTCATCATGTTTAGGCTCTTTGTGTTTTTTACAGGCCCTAAGCTACTTTCACAGGGCAGAACAAGGTAACACATTTTTGGTATCACATATTAGTATAGTTAAGATTATATGAATGCTGAATATATAAGAGATTTTTAAAACAAGTTATTTGATGTGCTTCTTTTTGCACTGTATTTAGTAAAACAATTTTTAAAGTTCTTATCCAGTAAAGATCACCTGAGCAAGAAATAGGTTGCCACTGGATTTAGAGCTGCAGGTTTGGAATGGTCCTTTATTTTATATAATTCACCTTTCCTTGTTAGAACTCTGGTGGCACAGTGGTGAAAGCACTTGAGTGCTAACTGAAAGGTCCCAGTTCAAACCCACCAGCTGCTCCTCAGGAGAAAGATGTGGCAGTCTGCTTCCGCAAAGATTTACAGCCTTAGAAACCCTGTGGGGCAGCTTTACTCTGTCCTGTAGGGTCCCTATGAGTCACAGTCGACTCGATGGCAACAGATTGTTTGAGATGAGGGTTAGACAGGTTAACTGTCTAATTCAAGATTATACAGCTAATTAGAGGTATTTAAATGAGAGCTCTCTGGTTTTAAACCAGGCCAGTTTTTGTTCTGTTGAAGATACTGTCTTTTGGGGAAAATTTCATGTTACTCTTGCTTTGAAGAAATAAACAGCCTATAAAACCATCGATATCCTCTCGATGGTACTATTTTACATGAGTGACATTTTCTCAGTGGGATTTAAAAGTATAATTTCAAGGTAAAGATAGAGCATTAGAGATTTAAGGGTTGGGGACGTTGAGAAAGACATGGTCCTGCCCTCACAGAGCTAAGATAGTGTTCAGTAACTCCAGCACTCCTTCAGGTCCTACCTTAGAGGTCACTTCCTTAAGGTGGCCTTTCTCTGTGGCCGAAATCTGGGTTAGATGCTTCTCTTACACCCTTAGCACCTTTTACTTCTCCCATCATGACCCTTAGCACTCCGTATTATAAATATTTGTTTACATGTCTAAACTGAAAATTCAGGGGAGATGGAGACTTTGTCTTTCTGGCATACAGTTGTATCACCTAATAAATGCTTGGCAAACTTGCTGAAATTATTAATGAGTAAATAGATAAATCAGTATGCTTAACTCCAAGGACGCCTAAGGATATCAACATGGTATCACACAAATACATTCAGATAAAAGAAGGAAAACAATTTTGGGTTAAGGAGCAAATGGAGTTAATCATAAATTGTATTTAGGAAGAAGTATACTTTGAATTTAGCGGGCCCCAGGTTGTTAGGAGGAACTGTGTCAGGAAGTAATGAAGTTAGAGTGACAGTGCTGTGCTTTGGTTCATCAGCTTTTTGTTTGTGCTTTTCCCTTGGCCAAGAATGTTCTCTGCTTTTCTGTTAAAATTCTGTTTAGCCTCCAAGTCAGCCCACTTGTAACCTCTTAGAGTTGCTTTTGTCTTTGATTTGTCATAGTACTTTCAAGTTTATGCATCTGGTAAAGCATTCCTTTCACTCTTAACGTTACATTTAGTTGTGTTCCTGTTTGTCTCTCCTTTTCATTATAAATTCCAAAAGAACAGAGACTTTGTTTCATCCTTCTCTGTATGTTTAAATACATTTAATATTCAGTAAATGTTGATCAAATGTATATAAGAGGACCGGTCATCATGATTTTATTCACTCATTCAGCAAGTAGATATTGAGTACGTGTTATGTTCCAGGCACTGTTCTAGGCACTTGGAATACACGAGGAAACAAAACAGATGAAAATCATTATACTACGGAGCTTACATTCTATCAGGAGTCTCAGTTTTTTGTCTATAAAATGGAGATAATACCTATTTTATCAAATTGTTGTGAAAAGTAGAAATGTGTATAGTACAGTGCTTAGCACATAATAAGCACTCAATAAGTGGTAATTATTATTTTACAAATATTTTGAGATATGAATAGTTGAACAAAAAAATTACAGTAGCCTAATCACTTACTGACATAGAATTTATTATTGGAATTCAGGCCAAAAAAATTAAACCATTAAAAATAAAAGTAACATTATTTCATCTGAGGTAAATTTATTTTTATTTCTTATGTACAGTGGATCCAAACTTCTATAGCAAAAACTTACTACTTTTAGGAAAGACATATTTGAAGATACAGAACAGAAAGCTTGCTGCTTTCTGGCTGTTGAAAGCCAAGGACTATCCGGCACACACAGAGGAAGATAAACAGGTAAAACACCTCTAATAAAATAAGGCAGATAGGTTTCCGCTGAGGGCACTGTTAAATAAAACTGAACTAAGAACTTCTTTAAAAACATGATTGTCTAAATACATGATATTGCTGGGAAAAAACAGCATTCATTTCAAATGTGAATTCATTGGCATTCACACTAATTTCTGTATAGGAAATGTTTATAGTCACTGTCACCAAAGAGATGTTATAGATTACTTGCTGTAATACAGAATTACTCCTGTTTGGCATATATGACAAACCAAGTAAGATTTGCAAAACACAGAAGGCAAGGGATGTGTACTGACGTGGAAGAGTTCTCTGAAAGAGTCTCATTTGGTCACTGTCAAGAAATTTTATTATTATTATATCCTATCCTAGAAACTCTTAGCAACCACACTCCACTTTATGAAAAATTTCATAAGTTAATTTCTGTGCTGTACTGCTTATTTATAACATGTATTTTTTCATTTTAGATCCAGACTGAAGCTGCTCAGTTGCTTACAAGTTTCAGTGTCAAGAATTGAGAACTTTTCAGAGAAGACAGTACATGAATATCTAATAAACATCACTTTTCATCAAACTATAAATACATTTACCATAACGGCTCTGTGTCTGCTTTCTTACCTTTTTTTTTTTTTTTTTTTTTAATGTTGTGATCATTTAACAGATTAAGTACACAAAATCATAGGTTTCTTCACAAATAACAAAAGAAACACCTGCCATAAGAGTGATAGCGATAATCTCCATGAATCAGAGGCAGATTATTTTGCAGCTGGGAGACACCAGCAATATAAAGTGGTATGAAATTTCTAAGGAGGATTTATCACATTAGGATGGGAGATCAAGGAAAGAAAGCTTTGTGGAAGAGGGGAGTGCATTTTCAAGTTGGATTGATTCAAAGTTGAGATCTTGAAGAGAAGGTACAGTGTAAGGTTAAGATGCTGAGGGCTCTTGGTTTAAAGTAGTTAAATGATGTGTCTTGTAGCCAACCTGCATAAGGAAAGAAGTCGTCAGGAGAGGATTGAAAATGGAGTTGTTTCCTTTTTAAAATGTGGACTGTTGTCACAGTAGATTGAAAGGAATACTGAACTCAACATCTTAAATGGAAATTGTTTTAAATAGTGGGACTGCTACTTAAGGCTGGGGTATCACTACTGCAACGTTACAAGTTTTGTAGGCAGATAAAAAACCTGTTGCCATTGAGTCAATTCCGACTCATAGTGACCCTATAGGACAGAGTACAACGGCCCCATAGGATTTGCAAGGAGTGGCTGGTGGATTTGAACTGCTGGCCTTTTGGTTAGCAGTCAAGCTGAAGAACATAAAAGTACAATTATGTGCCACATAACGTCTGTTTGGGCAACGTCCAACAGCATATATGTCTGTGATTTGGTGTGCACCCTCTGGGGGATGCCGGTAGCCTGACTCAGCAGCAGGCTCGCCCTGCTGCCCTCCACCTGCGGGAACAGTCGCCCCTACGTCTGGGAGGAGTGGGCGCCCAGTCCTGCTCCTAAGTGCCGAAGTTTGGCAGGCATTGCAAGCCCGGTTGGAGCAGGGGGCAACAAGTCACTGGGACTGCTCCCCTGCTGCCAGGGCCCATGCCCAGATCCTCCCTCCCGTGACCTTTGCAGGGCTGCAGAGCCGTGTACTGGGTGGGACCTGGGTTAGCACTTGCTCTTGAGGCATCCACAGTGGGAGCTGCCCAAGGTGCGCACCACACTGTGGCCTCAAGGCCTGTGTGCCCCACAGGCCCGGGTGTTTGCACGTCCAAATCACCCAAAGTCCAATTTCACAAAACGTATCGTGGATGTTAAGCAATGCATGACTGTATATCCCAAACGCCATTTAGATCTGAGAGTGTATGCATAGGTGGATTTTCCCCAAAGGATTTGGGAATTGTAATCTTAGAAGCCAACTGTGTGGGTTATGTGCTGCTTTTTTCTGTTTTATCACGTAAATTTGCAAGCAAAAAGGAAAACAGTAGTGAACTCTTTCTGCACACCACTCAGATTCAACAATTGTTAATCTTTTGCTTTATTTATATATGTGTTTATATTAATATATATATTTCTGAACCTTTGAAGTTACAGGCGTGATGAAATTTCACCCCTAAATATTTCAGCATGCATCCTCTCAGAATAAGGACATCCTCCTAAACAAACACAATTCCATGATCACAGCTAAGATAATTCTCTTACATCATCTAATATCCAGCCGAACTCAAATTTCCTCAAATGTGCCCAAGTGTCTCATACTTCTAAAAAAAAAAACAAAAAACCAGAACTCAAAAACAGCATACTTTGCATTTGACTTGCAATTAATCCAGAATCCATCCCCCCCCCTTTTTTTTTCCTGCTGATAACTTTCTGAAGAGACTAGTCCATTTGCCTCGTAGATCGTGTGTCATTCCAGATTTGCCTAATAGATCACATTTTGAAAACCACTGAAATAGTTGTTAAGTACTGGTTTGGTTAAGCCTTATTTTCAGAGACTTAAATTATATGTATATTGGATTTTCTTTGCCTTTTATATTTATCAGTCTCTGATTTTTCTTTTAACCTCTGTTTCATTTTCATTTTCTTGGCTCTTTTCACCTACCTCTCTCACTGCACTTTTGGTTGTATGTATTCTTCATACACACTTAGTCTTCATTCTCAATGTTTTTGTCTTCATTTTTTCCCCTGATTTTAGTAGCCATTCCACATCTTCATCTTGCTTATCCAATTCCGAGTTTTTGGATTTCTGATTTGGATTTTTTTTAATCTGCAATTATTTATTTACACCTAATTCATATTAGCATGTTGTATTAAAAAGTTTCTAGTCTTGTATTTTTTTACTATTTTCACTGGGAATTTTCTGATTTTCAACTTTCTGCTTAAGTGACTTCGAGTGTTTTTCTCAGAGGGTATGACGTGTGTGTGTGTGTGTGTGTGTGTGTGTGTGTTGGGTCACCAATAATAGCAAGTAATCAAATAGGAGGAAGTGAAGCGTTTGCTTTAAGAATACCTTCTTATAAGCTGTCTTGTGAATGAGGTATCTTTCAATAGTAAAGCCTTTTATGCAGGGGAGAGTTTTTCTGATAGCTTGTAGACTTAATAATTATAGTTTCAGAGGACATTGCAAAAAATAGTACAGAGAGGTTCTGTGTACCCCATTGCCAGTTTTCCCCAATGGTAAAATCTTACATAACTACAGTACAGCATCAAAGTAGGAAATTGACATTGGTAGTCCACAGACCTTGCTCAGATTTTACCAGCTCTTACATGTACTCACTTGTGTGTAGTTCTATGCAATTTTATCGTGTAGATTTTTGGAACCACCACAAGATACAGAACTGTCCCACTATGACAAAGATCTTTTGTGCTACCCCTTTATAGTCAAACCTACCCACCTCCTCCACCCCTACCATCCTTTATCCCTAACCCCTGGCAACCACTAATCTTTTCTGCATCTCTATAATTTTGTCACTTTGAGAATGTTATAAATGTAATCAAAGCATGACTTTTGAGATTGGCATTTTTCACTCAGCACAAGCCCTTTTGAGATCTTCGTTCTATCAATAGTTCATTCCTTTTTAGTGCTAACTAGTATTCCACTGTATGAGTGTACTAGTTTAACCATCTTGCTTTCCAATTTTTAGCTATTAAAGCTGCTATGAACATTATGTACAGGTTTCTAAGTCGACATAAGTTCTCATTTTTCTGGAATAAATGCCCAGGAGTGCAATTGCTGGTTCCCTTATAGAGCTTTTATCTTTTTATCCTTTTACCCTTACCCACCAGTGGATATCCCCTTTCAGATATGGTGCCTTCCCCAAGATCCTGATTCTGTGCACTTTCCAGGTCCCTTCGTTTTAACTTCCCAGAAGCCTGATTCACCAGGTCTCGTGCTGGTGTTTGGCATTTCCTTACTCAGGGTAAGGCCCACTGGTGCTGGGAATAAACCCTAGGACCTCATCACATTCCCTTTCTGTGCAATCTCCACCTAACTCTGTTCTTGTGTGAGTTGACTGCTAGTTTGGGATGTTTATTTCCTCTCATACATGTAGACAGAAGTCTAGTATTGTCTTCTAAACATGTCACAGGTATGGGCTATCAGTGATTTTATTACCTCTTGTGGATATGTGTTGAGGATGTGAGAAGAAACTTGAATTTGGTTAAGTGGTCCTCATCCTATAAGAACTTGAAAGCTGTCAACTTCTTGATGCCAAAATTTTCTCAAATAGGCTTCTAATCATAGGTTGTAGACTAGCTGTGGATTTTGTAAAAATAACTTCTCTCAGCCTCACTTTCCTAATCTATAACATGAACATCACTAAAAAGCAAAAAACACAAACTTCTTGCAATTGTGAAGATCAGAATAATAATATATGTAAAGGACTTAATGTATCAATAAACACTAAAAAATATTATCATCTGATTGAGTTCTTAGTTGAGATTGGGGAAAGAAATTTTGGAATTTAGGAGACGTGACTTTTGGACTCTTTTTTTATTTTTTCCAGAAAGAGTTGATTAGGAGGTGACACCAAGGGGGGTCTGACAGCAACACTGGCTGTCTTCATGGACTCCCAAAAGGCAATTTCTACATCAGAGCTTATATATCATTTTGGCAAAGATTACCTAGTGTCTTCAGAAATGTAGCCCACAGATGGTCAGATGAGTATACATCACAAGACAATTACAAGAAACTTTATTAAAGATATGCATGCCGGACATATGGACTCTAATCTTTGTTTATTGTTGTAGTTTAAATAAAGTTTGCATTTCAAGTTAGTCTCGCATACAAAAATTTATACATACATTGTTATGTGACCCTAATTGCTCTCCCCATACTGTGACAGCACACTCCTCCTTTCCACCCCGGATTCCCCATGTCCATTCAACCAGCTCCTAACCCTCTGCCTTCCCATCTCACCTCCAGACAGAAGCTGCCCATTTAGTCTCTTGCATCTACTTGAGCTAAGAGGCACACTCAAGAGTATCACTTTATGTCCCACCATCCAGTACAATCCCTGTCTGAAAAATTGGCCTCAGAAATTGTTTTAGTTCTGGGCTGATGATAGAGAATCTAGGGGCCGTGCTTTGCACAGTTCCTCCAGTCTCAGACCATTAAGTCTGCTTACTAGAATTTGAGTTCTGTACCCCACCTTTCCCCTGCTCCATCAGGAACTCTCTGTTCCCTGTCAGGGTGGTCACTGGTCGTAGCCAGGCACCATCTAGTTCTTTTGGTCTCAGGCTGATGAAGTCTCTGGTTTATGTGGCCCTTTCTGTCTCTCAGGCTAATATTTTCCTTGTGTCTTTGGTGTTCTTCGTTCTCCTTTACTCCAGGTGGTTGGGACCAATTGATGCATCTTAGATGGCCGCTTGCAAGCTTTTAAGACCCCAGATGCCACTCACCAAACAAGGATGCAGAACATTTTAATAAGCTTTGTTATGCCAGTTGACCTAGATGTCCCCTGAAAGCATGATCCCCAGACCCCCACCCCTGCTACTCTGTCCCTTAAAGTGTTTGACTGTATTCAGGGAACTTCTTAGCTTTGGTTTAGTCCAGCTGTGCTGACTTCCCATGTAGTGTGTGCTGTCCTTCCCTTCACTAATTCTTATCTACTGTCTAGTTTGTGAATAACCCTCACCCTCCCTCCCCACCCTCGTAACCATCAAAGAATGTTTTCTTCTGTTCTTGAGTTTTTATAATAGCGGTCTTATACAATATTTGTCCTTATGTGCCTGACTAAACTCACTCAGCATAATGCCCTCCAGATTCCTCTGTTTCACAGCTTCATCATTGTACTTTATTGTTGTGTAGTATTGCATTGTGTGGATATACCATAATTTGTTTATCCATTCATCTGTTGATGGGCACCTAGGTTGTTTCCGTCTTTTGCTATTGTGAACAACGCTGCACTGAACATGGGTGTGCATATGTCTATTCGTGTGACAGCTCTTATTTCTCTAGGATATATTCCTAGGAGTGGGAATGCTGGATCGTATGGTATTTCTATTTCTAGCTTTCTAAGGAAGTGCCATATCATTTTCCAAAATGGTTGTATCATTTTGCATTCCCACCAGGAGTGCATAAGAGTTCTGATCTCCTCACAGCCTCTCCAACATTTGTTTTTTCCAGTTTGATTCATGCCAGTAGTGCTGGGCTGAGACAGTATCTCATTGTGGTTCTAATTTGCATTTCTCTAATGGCTAATGATCGTGACCATTTCTTCATGTGTCTGTTAGCAGCCTGAATTAACCTTCTTCGGCAAAGTGCCTGTTCATATCCTTTGCCCATTGGGTTGTCTTTTTGTTGTTGAGGTTTTGCAGTATCTTGTAGATTTTATAGATTAGAGGCCTGTCAGATTTGTCGTGGCCAAGAATTTTTTTCCCAGTCTGTAGGTTATCTTTTGACTCTTTTGGTGAAGTCTTTTGATGAGCTTAAGTTTGATTTTTAGGAGCTTCCAGTAATCTAGTCTTTCTTATGGTGCTTGTGCATTGTTAGTTATGGTTCGTATTGTGTTTATGCCATGTATTAGGGCTCCTAGTGTTGTCCCTATTTTTTCTTCCATGATCTTTCTTGTTTTTGATTTTGTATTTGTCTTTGATCCATTTTGAGTTAGTTTTTGTGTATGGTGTGAAGTATGGGTCTTGTTTCAGTTTTTGCAGATGGATACCCAGTTATGCCAGCACCATTTGTTAAAGACTGTCTTTTCCCCAATTAATGGACTTTGGGCCTTTGTCAAATATCAGCTGCTCATAGGTGGATGAATTTATGTCTGGATTCTCAACTCTGTTTCATTGGTCTATGTATCTGTTGTTGTAGAAGTACCAGGCTGTTTTGACTACTGTGGCAGTATAAAAAGCTCCTAAATCAGGTAGTGTGAGCCCTC